GTGTGTGTGTGTGTGTGTGTGTGTACAGTATATGTTTATTCACTCAGTGAGTTGAAATCTGATTTCTGGCTTGTTATTGTTGATCTTATAGAGCCGACCACAGTCTAAAAGTTGCTGTGACATGCCAATCCTTCAAATATAAAAAGTCAAATAAAACATATTTATATTTAAGAAACTTGACATAATACACGATTTTACTTGTTTTGTCACATAACTGGCATATTTTTTTAAACTTGGCTCAAATAAAGTGAAACAGGAAGTGACATCAAAGAAACTCTAAGAAAGAAAACTCTCTGTTCTTTGTTCATTGAATCAGTATTATTTAAACTCCGACTCTTCATCTCTCTGATAGAAACTCAAAATAATCTTAAAAACATCAGATTCTTCTCTGCAGTCCAAGTTGTTAACCGTTGCAGCAAAGCTCTGTTCACACGCAGACGTTCCCGTGACATCACTTCCTGTTACTGAACATGCAAATATCTCAACAACTGTTCATCTCAGCAGTGTGAATTTATTTTGCAATAAATTGTTTATGTTATTTTTCCTAAAACGCATTCATTTTATTACAAAAAATGATGTCACAGGCACTTTACTATACAGGTTATACAGGTGTGAGTTATTGTCAAAGCTGAGCTGCAGTTTGCAGCTGGAACATTAAATTAAATCATTCTCAAAAACGCCCACAGGTCAGTGGATCTTTCAGTGCGAACCCCAACTGTTCTTCTTTTCCCCGCAGGTCGAGTGGGTCTGTGGAAGGATATCTTTACAGTGTCCATGAATGAAAAGTTTGATGCAGTGTACAGAGAGAAGATGGCCAAGTCTGACCTGACCTTTGATTTCTGCCTGTGAGGACCTCCTCACCTCTTCTCACCRTCCTGCCCGAACTGACCTCTACAAGCCTCACATCCTGCCAAAACTTTCTCCTACATCTTATTGAACTTATTTGTAAAATTGCTTTTGCACAATGGAATGACACTGGAAGCAGAGGTTTATGGTAACTAAGTATATTTATTTTGTTATAGTACTTAAGTAGGTTTTTTTTTACAATTTATAATTTTACCATGTATTTTTTTAAATCATAACTTTTACTTTTATTTTGTTACCTTCAAAACAGAAATTATACCTTTACTTCTTTACTTTATAACTGTAACATCTCGTTGCACACTATAAATTTAAATTTAACTGTATATACAAGAATCTGAGTCAAAGGACAGCAGGAACTGTGCATGAAAAGCCCTGATTGTAAGAGAAACACTCTAAGAAAGGAGTTGTTTATGCACTCTAAAAAATGAAGTATTTAATGTCAACTGGTTCCATATAACAGAGTTTAGTAAATGTAATGCAATATCGCTCAGTTTACTGAGCTCGCTTTAGTAGAACCAGATTAGTTAAAGGGATCCACAGTCACTTGTAACATTAAACTTTATTTGATAAACGTCCTGATGCATCTCAGTAATCCAGGTAAAAATCAAAAAGAAAAAAATTGTATAGGTCTTCTGGACGGGTTCTTCTCTGCTGTTAAGTGCCAGGAGGACTACGACCAGTTATACATCGGGGAAACAAAGCAGCTACTGTTCAAAAGAATGTCCCAACAC